CAGGACTTGACGAGTTTGCCAAGGAGTTGGAGGCAGAAAAGAAGAATCTATCCTCGAAGTCGTCGACTTGGGTCTTGAGCCCAAACTCGCCAAAGAGGATCTGCTGGGACTTGGCAGGGGCAGCTCGGCGCAGATAGCGATGAATAGCTTCCCGGTTCGATTCAAGATTGTAGATCATTCTTCGGTTTTTGCAAGCCGATGTTCCGCTATCCTGACCCCAACACACTGCAACAGAGAACAAGACCATGCTTTTACTTTTATGCCAAGGGCCAAGATGAATCGGAGGCGTATTGTTTGGTGGGACTAGGCTTGAACGGGGGCATTGCCATTTGTGAGTTTGTTAAGCCTTGATTGTTCATGCAATCTGCAGTGAGAGTTGGCTAGCGTTTGAGATTGGGCATGACGGGTGTCTGGGATCATGACAGAATGCTGACAACAGTGTCGGGTAGAGAGGGGCCTCTTCTTGAATCAGGGGAAGTTGCTGCTGGGTGCCAATAAAGGAACTCGGGAGGTGTTGGCCTTTTCAAGTCTCAAGTAGCATTGCCTCCCTGCTGGGCAAAGGCATTTGTCAATGGGGATGGCTATTCATTGGGTGACACTGGCAAGGAATGCGAGCATTTTTTGCAGGAACTCAGCGACTTGATTTGTGGCATGGGTGCGGCCTCCGCAAAACTCAGAAAGCCGGACACTTGTCCGAGTTTGATTGAACATACTGGGCAGCATGTCCCAAGCACATCACATGGCCCACATCCCAGAATCCTGGAAAGGTCCTCGTCCTCCTCTATGACCTCATCATGATTCCCATGTACACCGCTTTTCCACTGGCGCCGAATGTGTTCTTGACATTCATGACGGGTGTCACGCTTGGCTTTTGGACACTGGACATCCTGGCTTGCTTCTGTGTGGGCTACTACGCGCGGGATGGAACTCTCGTCGTGAGCATGAGCAAGATTGCAAGGGCATATCTTTTCTCCTGGTTCCCATTGGATTGTGTCATTGCGACTTGATTGCACGTGTTGGCACGTTGGCAATTAAGAAGCTGGTCATTCAAGTACCTGACACTCTCGAACGCAGGAACATTAGGGGAATGACAGAGTCTCCGCCACAGATATAAGCCCAGTAAGCCCATATGTTCAGGCGTTCGATAGTTCGATAAGCTGAAATCAGGCGTAGATTGCATGAAGTTGGCAAAGAAGAACTCATGGACTGGATGGTCCGAGTTATCTTGTGGCTTGGCACAATCCTCAGGTCTCGATTGATTGGGTCATAGTCCTCGCCTTGGTCGCTGAAGAGGAGGGAAAAAGCCGGGGCCCCAGAGACCAGAGTACCCGGCGCTGGGTCATTTACCGGGCAGATTGATTGTGTGTTTGCCATGTTTAGGCTTTGATTCCGGCTGGATGTGCCCAATTTCAACAGGTGCCAGCTCCATACTATCCGAAAGGATGCCCTGGCAAAAAAAAGCTCCCTACTATTTAGAGCTTGATTCGTTGATAAGCTGAGAAGTCATGTCATGAAAAATCAATAATTGTTTGATGAACATGGTGATGGTGGCAGGTCATGTGCATGTTGGTTAGTGCATTGAACAGGGGCCCTCCCTAATCGAATCGAATTGGAGGGAGTCAAAGGAGACATAATTTAAGACCATTTAGGGCCCTCCCATGCAGTCTTCGTAGAAGTAGTATGGCCATGAATTTAATTGGGAACCTGAAAAGCGATTGGTGGATATAAACTTCCACCATGACGACCACTAAATGATTCCCTAATTAACATTCATGGCGCCATATCAAGTATCTATCCCGGCTATGTGGCCGGGACGACCTTTCGGGCCACGAGAGGTGCCGGGCTGATGCGCGCGGGCAAGATGCTGCGGGCCCTGCGGGTGCTGCGCACTCTGCGGCTGCTGCGGCTTGCGAAGTTGAGGCAGCTGCTGCACCTCGGGAAAGCAACAAAAACGCACCAGAGAAGCAGGAAGACCCTTACTTGTCTGGGAATGAACCTTCAGCCCTGTCTTCTCGAGCTGGATCTTGCACGTGGTCAAGGTCAAAAGGCTTCGAAAAGCGGGTTTGCCTCGCCAACAGTCCTGTCATTGCCTCAAATAGATCGAAAACGCGCAGTCAAATAACAAACATGTTTGTTGTTCTCCCAGCGCTGGAGTGTCCTGATTGTTGCAAGGCCTGTTTGGTTTTGAGGGGGGGGTCCCCTTTCCGAGCTCGTTAAATCTTGCTGCTTTTGCACATTGCATGTAGCACGAAATGTGTGATGTTTGGCAGTCTGGCCGCACGAAATGAAGCATTGGCAGCAGCTTTAGCACAGACGTTCGATGGGGCCACCCGGCGCCGGCTTCGCATGCGAAGCGCATGCTAGCTGTTGCTTTGCGGGGTAGGCAAATGTTCGGTTGCAGGCAGTCCGCCCCTGCTTTAGGGTCTTGGTTTTCGTTTTGCAGTTTGTTAGCTGCCTCGAGCTTGGTGCACTCGGCTTCAATGTGGAACTTACATGTGTCTATGATATTGCACGGCCCTAAGCAGAGGATTTGTGATTAGGTGCTACTGGCCGAGTGCCTGGGCAAGTGCAGCTGACTGTGTTTGCGTTGGATGAGTTTGGCATCATGAGTAACTTCAGCCAAGGAACAAGCTGCAGGCTGGGCATGACTGACAATCCTTCAGAGGCTCATAGAGGGAATTCCAAGCTCGGAGATATAGCAATAGCTTTGGGCTGGGTATGTGGCACCTCATGAATGGATGGAAGAGGGTAGGGCACGGCCTCGTTAAAACGATGGCTGCCTTGCTTCGCAGGACCAAGTGGACTCTGAGCACATATCAGTGCATCCTGGCTGCATTTGCTGCACTTTCAGCTTGGCTTTCGATGTTGATGTTTGGAGAGCTTGTCTGGCCAATGCATGGCCACTGCTGGTTCCCAGGATCCTGGACATTGTCAAGCTGTTGATCCTGATCATTTTCATCAATCACTTCATCGCATGCGCTTGGTATTTGGCTTCTTGATGTCATTAGCGTATGTCGAGGCATCAGCCACGTGGCTGTTGCCTTTTCCTATTTGTGCCCGCATCCCATTGAGACTATTGAGACTGACCGAGGTCTGTTGAGTGTTTTGAGGAGTAGCAGAGGCCTCGCGCCAAGGTGGGATGCAACGCACCCGCGCTCGAGAACTCATGGCTGAAGGTGGAGTTCGGTACTTTCGATTGCGAGGAAGAGAATGATGAGCTTTTGCTGTACAAGCCACCTGCATGAAGTTTTGAAAGGTTTCGGACGAAAGACACAGGCACACGGCACACACATGTTGGCTGGCACAGATGTGGCTTTAGCCTTAGCACTGTTACACGCCTGCCACGGAAGCGGTTGTATATGAAACAGGTGCAATAGAGTATGCGGTGCTTACCGGGCCCAGCTCTAAGCACGCAGTCAACCGGCATGCCTCGTGGCGGGTCAGCTGTGATTCGTGTTGAAGCTATCACTTCTTAGCGAGTGCTTGAGTGGGGGTCTACCTTCCTAGCCGCAAGCGCCTGGTGCTCCAAGCGCAGGTGGACGCGTTAATCCGTTCGACGGCGGTTTTGCACCACCGCTTGTGGCCTTTTTGGACGCGATGTGATTTTTCCATCTCCTCTTTCTGAGGACCGCAGTGTGCTCGCTTTGGATCTTCTTTCCTAGAACTGTTTTTGATTTTGTGTTCTTGTGTTCGGACGATTTTCGCCACCTTGTGTGGCAAATTGCAAGGGCCGGGGTGGGGTTAAGTCGCATCAGCCTGTGCAAAGTCGCATTGATCGCGCTCGGCCGAATTCATCCCCGCGGGCAACCGGCCCAACTTATGCTTTGGAGTGGAGTCCCGTCGAAGCAGGGCAAGCGCACAGCAAGACATCAACTGCATGCTTTATGCTCGCTGCGTGGCACACACTGTGAAGGCACGTGGCCATTGTGATTGCACTTCCGCAGCTGGCGGTCGAATTCATCAATTGCTGGCTGGGGCACAAGCAACTATTTTTGCGGCAGAGCGTGGCGTACACTGTGCGTGGCCGGTGTGATTGCCATGTGACTTCGCGAGCGCGCGTGGCCTCTCAGTGATGTGGCTTCCCGCACGTTGTGTGATGTAACACGGCCCCGTATAGGGTACTGAGCTTCAAGACTATCATCGGCTGAGGTATACCACCAGCATGCACTGGTCGTTGACGCAGTTCACCCCAGCCTCCATGAGCGTGCAGCCCACGAACACCACGGAGCGAAGTTTTGCGATAGGCGGGAAATGCCTCCGCCTTCGCCGCCCAAGCGATTACTTGTTGCTCCCACTTTTGCATCCTCATGGAATACGTCGTCTTCCAAACAAACAAGCTGTCAGGGCCCAGGGTGATCGTTGATAGGTTTTTTGCAGGTTGTTTCCCGCAGGGGGCTGGCATGTCTTTGCTGAGTGTGCCCTGAGGTGTGCTGCTTTTTGCTCTTCTGGTTTTCTCCTCTTTCGTGGCAAGCTTGACTGGCGCAGCTCGGCCAAGCAAAAAAAAGAGGAACCTACTAGCTAGAGAGCCTCTTCGGAGGAGTCGCTACCAGTGTGCCCCAGGGTAGCAAGAGTCCCATTGGCCCAGGCCACCACCAGCCTTCGCAAGATGACCGGCCGGTACACATCCCAGCTGTGGCTCTTGCGCAAGTTCCTGCGGCAGCGTCAGATCACACTTGACCTTCAGGCCATGCCCAGCTCACGGGCTCAAAATGGCTCGCAGCAGATGTTGCCAAACGACTGCGTGCGAAGATTGGCTCAGTGAGTGAGCTAGGTGATATACGACTTTCTACGATCCCAGCCAACGATTGTCAAGTCACAGAATCATTGTGGCAAGCATGAGTAGGAAATCATACCCCATTCCACGCGGCAAGTTGCCCTTGGCTCGGTGTGACACTCTTTACTGTGTGACATACGCCGACGCCAAAACCATTCCTAACCTTCCCTTTCAAATGTGGAGAGGCACAGGCTTTGTTTCCAAGGTAGTGCTGTTGACTTTTCCGTGTGGCTCTTGACGCTGAACCTAAAACACGCAGGAACTTCATATCGGGCAGGTCCGAATCAACCGGTACATCAACATGGTGATATCCATGACGGAGCAGTGTGTCCAGTACGACGACCCTTAGCTTAGCATATCAACCTCTTGTTTGAGGTACCAGCTTCTCCATGTTTTGTTTTGTCTTTTGCCATTGAAATTTGATGCTGCCCGAGTTTGCCCAAGCTAGTTGTCACATTGCATCACGGCCGATCCTTGCCAAGAGGTGCAGCGCGGCTTAGGGCATTGTGTTCTGCCAGCTGAGGATGTCAAGCTCTTTGAGCAGCTATCCGGTCCGCTGGTGAATGAGCTGCGCACAGAGCTCAACAAGCCGCCCGGCCGACTGGAGCTTGCCCGGCCCCCCCCCCTTCTCTGTTTTGCGGACCATTGACCTTGTATCACGTGTACAAATTGGCTCAAGCCCCTTTTTCTACCAATAGAATGTCCACTCGCAATAGAAAAAAGACCGCTGCGCTCCCGGTGTACACTTGAACCCATGTACCAGGGACTTCCAGTACAACTTCCATCAGACAGCTGTCGGCAATGCTCAGGCATTACTTAGCCCCGGTAGCGCCCGGCTTGGCCAGCTTGCGATGCTTTGAGCTGAGGCCGCGGCTTTTGGTGCACCCACTCTTCGTCATGATGATCGACAGGTTCGAGGGAATGATGCGCAAAGTGGCTCGGTCAGATTCGATGCCTGGCTCCATCCGGTTGCCATGTGGCTCTCGCCGAGAGTGCTCTCGGCAGACCCGACAGACGCCCAAAAGCGCCTCCCGCGCTGAGTTGACAAGATAGAGAGGGCAGTGTCCCCAGGACAGTGTTTTTCACATTATAAAGCCACTGCGTGTATATATATATATATGATTATCCCTTTGAGCTGTTGAACATCCCAAGGTGTGTGTCAAAGTGCCAGTGCCCGTCTACCTTTCACGTGCGGACATTCTCTTCGCAGCAGGGGAGGAATGCAAGAGCATGCAACTCGGCAGCATTTGATTCCTGTGGTTTTGCAATCAGGATGGCCGTGCCGTCAGTATCTCTGTACTATCCGCTGGCGGCTTGTTCGACGCAATCACATGTCACAGATGCGAAAGATCAGGCGATACCAGTTGCCATGGAGGAAAGGTGGGGCCAACACAGACATCAGATGACCAAGAGGAACCGCGGATCGGAGGCAAACAGGCCCAGGAAGCAGAGAGAGGCAGGTCGTGGTCCACCGGAAACGTGCAATCAACATCCAAGGTACTTCCTATTCTCGGGCAGCTTGGCAGGCAGCGGTCATTGAGGCCAATCTTCCCATGTTATAGCGTGAATTATTTAAGCAGAAAAGTTGGTGCATGACGAGCGAGATTGGCATTGCCATGTGCGGCTTGTGGTAGTCTTGCTTGCCCTTGTAAGCGAAAACGCTTGTCACTAGTCTGCCATGCATGGCTCCCTCTTTCTGCGCTTGGGGCATTGCATGCTTCTCACTGCAGAAGGCTTTTGTGCGTCTGTTTGGAGCCAAGAAGGCCGACGCACGTCATACACTGTCCGTCATGGGCCTGAGATGAAATGCCGTGAGAGAGGCGGTCTTACTCCTCCTGCCCACAAGGGGCTGAGCTTTGACATGATTGGTTTCGGTCAGCTCCCTTTCATGGCATGTTTGCATGGCCCAGGTAGCGTTGACTATTTGCACCACGAGACCAAAAACTTCGAGCATCTCAATGACAACGAGCATCTCGGAGCGTGTACTGACCCAAACACACATCCTTGGCTGATGACATGCTGGGCTCCCAGAACTGGCCTGCCCGGACACCTTGTGGTTGGATACACCGCCAAGGTATCAACTTCCTTGTCAGAAGCAAGGGTGTTGACAATAGTGCCAGAATATAGTGGCACGTTTATCTAGTCACCCAGGATTGAACCACCATGCATTTTAAGGGGTGATGCGTGTTAGACGGCCAAGGTGGTTCTGCGAGGTGGTTCTGTGGACGCCATGGATGCACCAAGGGCGGGTTAGAGCCAAGCGGCTTGGCCGTACCGGACTTGCATTCATCTCGTGGTAAAGTGCTTTGTCCCAATTTGGTGCACAGGCTCCTGTTGAGCTTTTGCCAGGATCGAGACCGAATTCATGGAATTGAACAACGAGAAGTTCCGGGAGGTCGTCTCGGAATATCCAAAACATCTATCCTTCATGAGGCATGGTCAGTGAAGGTTTGGTGGCACTGCTGCTTTCCGCTGCTTTTGCCCAGGATTTATGGGCTCAGCTTCCTCCATCAGATGCAAGAGCTCTACATCGAGAATGAGCGGCACCTGCGCCTCGGCTTGGCTTTGCAGGCATCGTTGGCCTTGGCATACTTGGTGATGCCAGGGGTGCTAGAAAGGCTCATTGGGCAAGTGTTACACCTTCTGAAAGCTGCAGGGAACATGGAATCGATGTTTTGCAAGGCAAAGCTAAGACTTCAACATGACAAAAACAGTCACGGTCAGTTCTTCGCAGACCAAGCCACGTTGACTGGACAAACAAACCATCAGGATTACAGGAGCATATTGTTTACAGGCCTGGCCATTTAGTTTCCTCGGAGCATATCCACAGACCAAAGGAACGACATGAAGTAAATGGCTCGGCTACAGCTCGGCAGTGTGCAAGGGAGAAACGCACAAAATATACTGCATGACATATTGTAGCTCAGGGCACCCTCGATTCGCCAGGGCCAACATCAACTACTGCATGCATGTCCTGATGCCCAACATCTATGTGCAACAAAGACCTAACAATGAATGGCTTCGACAACTGCAATCACAACCAACGCTAAACAGTTTGACCCAAGAGCGAAAACTAGGCTCCTGTTTTGCACTGGGCAGCCCTTGTGTTCGATTCGGTCTGTGTTTCCTAGGACCGACCTTGATATGCAGATCGCTGCAACTTGGGCTGCAAGCCAGGCACTGCCAGACGTGTCCAACGCCAAGATATGGGTGTGGGTCAAAACTAAGCCACCAGGGGACCGCTGGTTTTAGTCTTTGGTTCCATTTACCAGGGTTCCATTTTGGGTACCTATTTTTGACCCACAGCCATACGATGCTGACACATTCTGTGTTTCAGCGGTATGCTCGTCAATGCGATGTTGTGCTAGTTGTGCCAAAGCAGGCACGGCCGACTTTCTGGCCAAATGCTGAGGTTAGCCCCGTGATGACGGACTTGTTGCAAGTAGAGCTGGTGCCTGAGCAGCATCAAAGCAGACGCTGCTTACCTGCCAGACACGTAACAGGCACCTGAAGTGCCCCTTTTTCCACAAAACGAGTGAAACACTAAGGGGTTCCAACGTTAACTGCAAGGCACCGGTGTGTTGATTGTGGTTCTCAATTTGACTCCACGCTCGCACAATAGTTCCCTCTAGAATCAGATCTCGGCTGCCCAGGCTCGCACGAAGCGATGCGTGCGTTCTGGTGTGTTGCGAGGCCTACTCTCGCAGGCCCAGCTCGCCGCGCTTAGGACCAGACGCCCTAAGGCCCGCACAGCGGTCCAGTCAGCGCCACTCATGTCTTTGGTGGCTTGCCGCGCTCACCATCCAGCCTGCCACGCTTGGGGCCGGCCCCAAGGCCCGTGCATGGTATCACATGGGAACGGTGGCGAAAATTCATGCTGCGCCCGCGCGGTCATCGTCGGCGCCACCCGACTCGGACTGGGTTTTGTATGCCTGCGGGCATTTGGAAATCCAGAGAGCCCCTGCACACAGGCTGCACACAGGGCCTCTGGCCACCACGAAGCAACCGCTGTAGCTAGCGCTCCTCCATAGGGCCCTATGGGCAGTGGTGCAAGATGGGCTCCACCTCTTCTGTTCCGCACTTTGGGTCAGCCGATTTGCTTCCGAGCTGCCTGCAAGAGATAGTGCGTCAGCTTGGTTTGTGCGTTCCTCAGCGCAGTGCAATGCATCTAGCACGGCTACGCAGGCGTGCACAAACAAAGGGCTCCGTTCGTGGCTGCATACGTTGGCAGCTTGATCCACCAACTAGTAACTGATTGCGGTGTAGCGCAGGCAACCGTGGCATGCGCTGCAACCTTACTGACCCGGATTCGCTGGAAGCTGTGCTACCTGCGCCCACAGGTCTGCATTTGCCTGATTGCGCGTAACAGGCTGTCCGGCGATTCTGGTTGCTGTCGCGTTGGACGACTCCCTGCCAATCAGGCAACACATTTGCTGGGCGTTCTTCTTCAAACTTGATTGTGAGCGCGGCCAAGAAGGCAGCCGTTTCAGCTCATTGAGATTTGTACGAGTCCACGCACATGACCACGGGCAACCACCTTTCCCTGCACGGGATCTTGGTCAGCCACTACTGCCCAGTCTGCAAATCTGGCTCTAGGCTTGCTGGGGTGGCAAGCCATCAGCAAAAAGAAGGGGCTGCTCACTTGGTTTGGAACGCCCCGCAGCTCCAGTGTCGGTGGTGGATTGCTGTTGCCGCTGCTGAAGGAGCGTTGGTTGCTGTCGTTTTGTGTTTGTGTGTTGGTGGTTCACCCTTATCTTCTCCACCTTACGGTGATGGTGGTGGTGGTGGTGGCGGTGGTGGTGGTGGCGGTGGTGGTGGTGGTGGTGGTGTTTTGTGGCGACGGCGGGCCAACAGCGCCAAACGGCGCTGTTTCATGGAGCAACACAAGCGCAACCTGTGAATCTCACAATTCTATGGGGGAATGTGGTTGAAGGCGATGACTTTTTGATAGCGATGCCATAATCTTGGGTTTGGGCTTCCACAATATGTCCATTCCAATGTGTGGGCGCTGAAGCGACGCTGCTTCTGAAAGCAGCCCAAGCTGTTTGCGTTTGCTGCAGGCACGCCCCTGCTCAACAAAATTGAGGGGTTCGACGTGGTGCATTCCTGTTCAGATCGCTCAAAATCGAACGCAGTCTTTTGAGGTCTCGTGCAGCAAGTTTGGTTCCGTTCCCAAATACGCCCGCTTGCTAGGCAGAAGATGATCTGCCTTCTGTAACCAGCGGGGTCTTTTGGCTGCACGAGACGTGCATCACGCAAGTCATATCATTTTCGCTCACGCTGGCTGGCGGTAGCTGCAACCAAGGCATCTTCCTTCGTGCACTGGCCAGGGAAGAATTCCAGCCCACAGATAGTCAGCCTACCATCTCAGGAGCGCCCGCGGCTTCCGTGCAGTCCAAGCATCCATGTGTCAGGGGACGGGCTGCGGATTGGGTACAACGTTCGATTCATGTTTTGGAGCTGCCTTTGTGTTGTTTCAGTGTGTGGCAAAAGCAATGAGAACACATGTGACTGGCGGTGTTGCTTTCCTACTTGGCTGTTGTCACTCGCGCCTTTGCACTTTGCTCGGCAGCTTTTTGATGCTGTGGGAGAACTTGCAGGTTTAACTTGCAGAGGAAGCTCATTGCATACAAATTTCATTACAAAGGGATCATTTTGGGGTAGTGGTCTGCAACTGACACCCTCATTCTTGGAGCCTTTGTAAAGCAGAGAAGCGAGGGTCGCAGATTTGAAAGCTGCAAGATTCCTTCACGATGGCAGGGCCCGAGATACAAGCGAACCAAGTCGAAGCAGCTTAAGAGTGGGTGCAGCGAAGCTTGGACAGGAAGGAGGCCATGTCAAAACTTGGTGCAGGGCTTATTTTGTACATGTTTGAGACATGCTGCCAGGCAACCAATTTCCAACACATGACTTGGGCTCCACTTTGAGGCCAACATTTGTTGAGTGGTGCGCTCGGATTTGCATGCTCTTTTCGCAGCAAAGGAAAGCAGCCTGCAGGAGGGCAAGCACAACAGCCCGCCCACGCTGGAGGCGTCGGAAAGTAGCCTAGCGCAGGAAGCCAACGAGCCCAGCGTGGTAGTGGGTTTACATTCTCGTGTGTTCGAAGTTTGAGATCGCAGAAAGCTTACTCTGGTGGCAGCCAAAGGCTGTCACGCAGAATGGGCACCCAGATATTTGTGAAGAACATTCACCAGTCCAAAGCTTCAGACTTGAGGCATTGTCATACTCAAGCAGGCGCGACATGGTGTTTCATTTTTGCGCTGAATCATTGCTATAAACAGCAACACTCGCTACTTGTACTTGATTTGCTGGTTCTATGCCCCCTCCTTTGCGTGTGTCTGATTGCGGAGTCCTTTGGCAGGGCTTGCGTGCGTGCGCGTGCCACAAGAAATGTGTGCTGCGCAAAATGTGCAGCCCATGATGAGGTGTTTTTTTTCGGATATCCTCAAGAGCTTCTGCCCAAGGCTGAAGTTGTGTCACCAGCAGTTGTGGACTGCTGCCCGCAGAGTGCAACCTCGCTCTTTGGCCAAGCGAATCAGCCCACAGCAATGGACAGGAGTCCCAGAACCACCCCCTGTTGTGACGTTGGAGGCCGAGTGAGGGGCCCTGCTTTCCAAAAAGCAGGAGGAGGCCTGAGGCGCCTGCACCAGTCCACTTTCCGAACACGGTGAACAAAGAGGACTTGAAGCTGGTGCACCAACGTCACACTTCCATTTTCTCCTGGGGAAAGCCACAAGAGCTGTTGCTGAATCCGAGGCTTTCCTACGCCTCCAAAGTATTTGCCAGCCCCCTAGGCGATTGAGTTTGGCACCGGATCTTGGGGCCGGGTGACCAAGGCGCATCATGCCGAAGACGATGACGTTCGCCAGTGGTGGCTCAGAGTACTGGCAGGTGAAGCCAGCAACGTCCAGCAGCGTGGCCTGGAAAGGGCGGAGTCATAGTGAGTTCAGGGGCTGTTTCAATTGCCCGGCAACGTTCCATCGAACCATGGGCTACACCACTGCTGGCTGCCAAAGACCTGATGACGTTGGACCCAGAAGTTGGTGAGATATCCATGCTGCAATGTCAGATGGTAGGGACTTCGGGATGCACCGCTTGGAGATGTGGTGTGCATTTGTCAGCTGGCATCCAATGAGCTCATTGCCACAAGCATTTGTGTTTGCATGTTAACACGGTAGCGTGTGAGAGGCAGTGTGCCATAGTGTGCCAAGTTGACACCGCTTCGTTCAAAAAGAGGTATCTTGGTTGGTAATGCTTTTGCTTTTGGGAATATGAACACACTGGCTACCATGGGGCATTCTGGTCCTCATATTGCTTGAGGCTCGTCCCCGGCAAACCTCCCCAGTCAACCCAACTTGTTGCAGCAGATCAAAGATGTAGCCATGGCTATGACTCATATCAGTGCTCGCGACCCGCCATGTGACACAAGGTGACGCTGCGTGGCAGCACTGCCCAGACCAACTGCTTGGCCTTCCACTTGGGAGCGCAATTTCCCGCCACTCGAGCGCAAGCACATAGGGGCAGGTGCTGTTGGCACAGTTCGTGCTTCCAATGTTGGCGCGTGCGCTCATTGAATTGCTGCGTCTATTCAACTGCAAAAGCAGGATGGACTTCCGTGCTTGCCCACCTCCGGGTATATTTACGTGGCCTGTGGCCATTGTCAAGTATGCGCCAGTTTGGCGGGGGACTGATGCAATTGAGGTGCTCACGTCCGTGATATGCTAGGCGGCCGTCGGGTGGAGTGGGGAAGGGGTGGTGTAGCGCCATGCTGAGCAGCGTGGTCGAAAGAAAGGGGTTGCATTAATCTGATCAGCTGATGTCAAGATGCAGTGCAAATGAGGGTTTTAGCTGCAAACTGCGGGACGTGAAGACTTCCATCCTGATTTGTCCCTGTGAGGTCCAGAAGATGAAGTTGATACTTGACAGCAAGCAGCTGTTGGGGTCTGCACATGTTGCTCGACAGTTCGCATGAACGTTGTAGCAACCGTGCCTATTTGTTCTGACCTTTGAATCTAGGGGGCGTGTCCTTCTGTGCAAGCTGAGAAGGCTTATGTAGATTTCATGCTGACTGTGTCTAACTGTGACCCATTACGGGAACCAGTCCGAGCCGCCTTAGTACTTGTATGGTTTCAAACACTTTGCAACGTGCGGAACCTATGTGAGATTTGGTTTGGAAGTTGGCTTAGGCAGACGTCCAATGGCCAAAGTCAGCCCTGCGATCCGCCTCAGAGGCGGGGGAACTTGGGTGAACCAAGGATGTGGGCCATGACTCTTGGCTGTGCTTGCGTGGGAAAGGTGCTGCAGGTCATGCGGGAAAGTGAAATCAGGAGCCAGTATCAATGGCCAGTCCAAGCCAACGCTGCACACATGATCCCACCGGAACCTGCTTGGATCTTTGCATGACCTGCTCGAACCGTCCATAGCCACATTATGGGTTTTCGTCCTGGCTTGAGCTCGCACGGTGACGTCCATGAGCCTGCTATAGCCTGCTGGTTTGTGAGTCATGTGGATCCAGGTGACGTCTATGAGCCTGCTTGTTTGTGGGTCATGTGGGAAGACGAGGAGGGGCAATTCACTCGAGCCTCTCCAGGCCATGGGCCATGCGAACTTTGTGCGGGGCGTGGCGTTGACAGCTGGCAGCTGGAATTTGGCATCCAGAGGCGGGGGTTGGCAGCGGACAGAAGGAGGTTGATCTCGGAGGCTCCTTGGGAGCTTCCTTGCAGTCCCTTGCGTTACTTTGAAGCCGGTGTATTCAGAGGGGGCAACATCCCTGAGGCCAAGGGACCAAAATCCAAGGCAGCTGTTTGTGTTGCAGCCTTATCCGTATTTGCTTTGACCGCAGCTTGGCCAGTTGCCGCGGAGAGATGCTCCGACTTTCTGTGGGGATCAGCCGTGGACCAGAAGAAGTGGGAGCAGCCCGTTTGCAAATCATAAACATGGTTTCGCGCTCCACAGTGCACCTCGAGACGTGAATTGGAGTCGGTGTTTGTTTTGGCAAGGAAGATCTCCTGGTTCCGACTGTCATCGCTATTCCTGTGACCTGCCTTTGAGTGCGCGGAATTTTGCGATAGTGCTGCCCTAGCAGTGCAAGCCTACGAGCTGGAGAATGTTGCTGTCAAAATACTCCGCATCACTTGAGGATGTGATACTTGCATATTTCTAAATTCCCATGTGCGGATGCCAAATCTTCTTGAAACTTCGGCTGATTAGACATCCATTCACATACACAAAAAAATGGTTATGTATACTGATTTATTTCAAAATATAGTTGAATTGGAATTTTATATATTTATATATATGTATAATTATTTGATATGTTCGGAAAAGTCCGGAAAAAAATTGGAAATAATTTGGAGTGCGTTGGTTTGGGGTGTTTGTAATGATAATAAGTAGGCTTGAATGAATCGAGATATTTTTGGATTTGTTTATAGACAATTTTTTCTCGATGTATTTGATGTATGGGAAAAATATTTGAATTAAAATTTAAATTAATTTGAAATATAAAAAATGTATTTTATTGGCCGCTAGTTTGGCGCTAAGGAATTAGGATGGAATATTAATTGAATTTTTTGTTTGAATAAAATTAAACGCTTTTATATTTTTATATAATATTTAATTGTCTAATAACTCTTTTTTTCCAAGACTTTGTGGAAGACGATTTGGTTTAAGCTTTAACAGAAATTTTCTTTTTTATTCCCGGATTTTTTAATATTTTTTATTTTTTTTCCGGGAATACTTAAATATGGGAAAAGCTAAGATTGAAAGATCCCCTCCCCATATAGGGAAGTGGGTCTATACCCCGGCAAAATTTGAACAATTTCCGGGAATGGGAAGGAATATTTCTAAGGATTAGACTAAATCGGTTAAAATTCTTTTTTTCGGTAAATTTTGGCAAAAGGAATTATTAGTTCGTGTTTGAAATAGCAAAAATCCATTCCCGGAACATTTGGAAGAATTTCCGGGAATGGGAAGGAGGAGATTAAAGGAAGGGAAGGTCGTGGGATGCGGGAGAAATTGCGTAGAGGCTTTTTTGACGTGAGCAATGCTAATCATAAATTTGTGTAATGTCCCGGTTTAAAAGAGGTTCGCCTCTTGCATTGGCCGATTCTTAGCACTAGTTGTTATGTACCGGTTCGGTTCTATTAATATATTGAAATATATTTTTATAATGAAATAATGATTTAGTGTTTGAATATTATGGTGTAATGAAAAATGATTGATATTATTAATTAAAATATTTTTAAAAAATATATTATATAAAACAATGAGTATATATATTATTTTTATATATTTAATTTATATTTTGGATATTATTATTGAATAAATTAATGTTGAGAAATGGTAAAAGGTTTGAATTGAATTATTTATATATGGTTTTTGGAATATTACATTTTGGGTATAATACATATTGAATAATGGATATTTTTGTTTATATAGATTTTTTTTTATCTCCAAATTAAATAGAAATTGATTTTAATAAAATTTATATATAATATGTTTTTTGTTTTTTATAAAATATATATTTATTATTTTATCGATCTCAATTGTCGTAACGATAGAAATTAATTTATAGGAATAGATCCTTATCCTTCATATGGATTATAATATATAGGTTTTTTGAATAAACCATATATAAAAAGATTATAAAGAATATATATATTTTTGGGATTAGGAAATTGTGGTTGTTTTAAAAAAAACATCTTTTATTTTTTCTGAATGTTAAAATAGTAATTTCTATTCTTTAATTATATTTTTTTAAATCCATTTGTAGTTGATTTCTGGCTTTGATCTAAACCCATTTTTATCGAAATAGATTGTTTGTTTTACTAAAAAAAATCAATTGTATCTTATATATAGGCAATTCCCAATTGGGATTAATCGGGGTTTATATCTTTGCGTTATACGGAATAATGATATTTATTTCCATATTTCAAATCGATATTATTAGTTTATTTCGTCTATGAAATATCAAAAATATGCATGATCTACGAATCATTGTAAATTGCATAAATAGATATTTTTAATTTTATATAACTATAGTTTAATAATACAAATACATATATTGTAGAATTCAATATATATTAATAATGATAGATATTAATGGGAATTATTTGAAATTGATAAGAAGAAAATAATTTATTCAGAATTGATAATATTTTATTATAAATTGAAATAGAATTAGAGACGGTGATTAATATACTATATGCATTATTATTTTGTTAGGATGTTATTTATAGTATCGTTTCGTATAATGCTTGTAATATAGTTTAGTATGATATTTGTCGTATTGTTTTGTGTTCTATGCGGTTTTATTATTGGAATTGTTCATGAAATCGGTTTAATAATTATAATTTATAATATAAAAGAATATAATAATATAATTTCACAAGATAAAATCTAAAAATGTATAATATATTTATATATAATTTTATATGCTTTATTATTTCTTTATAAAATATATCTTTATATATTTAAATTATTTTTTTTAAATTTAATTGTCTTATTAATCAATTATATTAATACATAATTTAAATATAGAATTCTTAAATCTATTTTTTTTATTAATCACATATTTCATATATATCATTAATAATATAATATATTGTTCGAATAATATAAAAAACATTAAATATAAATAAACCTAAATATATAATATTATAAATATCCAAAAAAAAAATAAAAAAAATATTTTATTTAAACAAATATAATTTCTATTTTAATCTTTTCGATTTATATATATATAGATAAATATTAATATATATTATTATATAAATATATATTTTTCCAATATTTACTCAATGTATTTCAAAATATAAAGATATTTGTCCTAATTTTCAATATATATTTAATGTTATATCAATTTAATAAAAACATAATTTCTATATATTCAATTAATATATATAAAATTATATAGTTTATTATTTATTTGTTTAATTATATTAATTTATATATATCTTTTTAAATATTAGTAAGAAGTCGTTTCCATTTTATACCTTATTCTTAAATAATATACACAATACCCTCCAATATCCATCAAATTTATCCTAAATCTCTTAATCACATATTTCCTAAATGCATAAAAATTAACCTCTATAATATCAATTTCAAACAAATAAACAAATCGACAATTCGACCGACAAATAAACAAAAACGAAAACAAAACACAAACAAAGACAAAAACAAAATCAAGAAACGAAGACAAATACAAAAACAAAGACAAACACAAACACAGACACGCAAACACAAACATACAAACACACAAACACACAAACACACAAACATACAAACACACAAACACAAACACAAACGCACAAACACAAACGCAGACAAACACAAACACAAACAAACACAACCAGACACAGACAGACACAGACAGACACAGACAGACAGACACAGACAGACAGACACAGACAGACAGACACAGACACAGACGCAGACACAGACGCAAACGCAGACGCAGACGCAGACACAAACACAAACACAGACAGACACGGACGCAGACAGACGCAAACACAGACACAGACACACACAGACAGACACAGACACAGACAGACACAGACAGACATAGACAGACACAGACACAGACAGACAGACAAACAAAGAAACAGATACCAGAGACAGAGAGACCAACAGACACAGAGAAACAGAGAAAGACACCGACAGAGAGACAGAGACAAAAAGAGACACGCCTCCGGCGCGCAGCGCGCCGGATTCTGATGTCGACATGCCACAGGCTTCGCCTGCGCGCGTGCGCGCGTCCGACTCCGAGCCCGAGAGCCGTGAGGCAGAAGGGCTGGCGCCCTCGCCCAGTGGAGCGGCTAGTGGGAAACGGTTTGTCACGCGCTTGTCTCGGCGCTGCTCCGCCGCTCTCTTTGCCCTCCACGACGGCTGACAGAGCAAATTTTATAGAGTCCACGCCGGCAAGACATTTTTTGCAACTCAGGCATCAACCTTTTTTTTTTTATCATTTCATATGTATCAAAAAATGTATACTCGTCGCATGCGAAAAGCATGCTGCCGTTCTCCAAACACCGGGCTGGTCGCGATAAGGTCACGCCAAAGAGGCAGTGAAAGGCGGTCGCCTGAGCAAGGTGAGAACGGATCCGCGGGCTGTTGGCCTCAAAAGCACGTAGTTGTTGCAAGCGCAAGCGAAAACGAAAATCGACCAGAAAACATCCTGGGTGCAAGCAAAGCCGAACTGATTTCGCCCAAAGCATTGGGAAAAACACCACTGGTCGCAACAATCGGCCGCGGCTCACAGCTTCTCGCATCGCCAAACTCTCGGAAGATATGCCAAGATTGCAGCCAAAATTGCTACGAACAAGCAGATATATGCTCCGACTCTTTAGCTGGAAGACACAATGGCTTCGTCCAAAACCCGGACCATTTTTCCGAAATATCCCAAATATTTTGATAATTGCACTCCAAACCATTTTTCCGAAAGATTCCGAATATTTCGACGACAGCATTTCCCGAAACATTTGGAATATTTCGAGAAAACGGTTCCCGAAATATTCGGAATATTTCGAGAAAATGGTGGGTGGCTGCGATTTTCCCGAAATATCTGGAATATTTCGGGAAATTGGTCCCTACAAAAAATGAAACCATTACATCTTCCGGATTATGGCCGGAGTAGCCCGGACAGATTTGGGTAAGCGGTCCGTAAGAAATATAAAGCGGTTACATCTTCCAAGGGCATCCCGGACCAATTTTCCGAAATATCCGGGATTTTTCGGAAAAACGGTCCGGAAAAACGCGCGCAAATGCGACAAACAAGTTTCACGGTTTGTTTTATAGAGTAAATATATTTAATAATTTACATATTCGCCTCGGCCCCAAAGGGGCCAAGGGCGCTCAGATCTCTTCTCCAAAGAGAATCTTCGCTTTTCCCCTCCCCCCCCCTCCCCGACCAAAATTTTGCCGGCCCGCCCCCCCCCCGCAGGCTACCCGGCAGCCAGCAACCCACCCATGGCTTCGCAGCCTCGTGGCTGAGACTAGCTTCAGGCCCAGCCCAACCAGCAACCCACCTCAACCCAGCCTGCCCAGCCCAGGCCCCGGCGCATTATGGAGGCCAAACCCCACTAAAAATGCTCATCCCCAGAAAGAGGTCCTTTTTTTTCCAAGGGCACTGAGCAGCTGAGATAGTCTTGGTTTTGGATTTCAAACCTTCCGAGCAGGACGGCTTCCGAACATCGAACTAGCACGGGCGAACTGGTGCGGTCACAAGCTTTCAGTAGGATTCGGACCTTCCCGACACTGGATTTCGGTGTTCCTAACCCTTCCCTCAAACTAAGCTGGGCCGAGACGGGCAACGCGAAGCGTTTACAATTATATTTATACCATAATAATTAAAAAAATAATAATAATATAATTCTAAAAAATATTTGTTTCCCAAATTCGCCGAACAAACGAAATCCTCATTACAAAACACTATTATTCATACGTGCCTCAGAATCAACTGCTCCGAAGCCAAACTCATACAAAGATTCCGAACCACAAATCCGTTGCAGCACAAAAAGCACCATAGGCCATACTCTTGTGAAGATCCCTTGGAAATCTACACAAAAACACAGCCGAATCTACAAGGAAAGCACGACGATAGAACAGCTGCAGGCATGCAACCTATCGCTACAACATTGCATCTAAATCAAGCGAAAGCACGAATGCAAATCCCAACCAAAATCGATCGATAAGTGGGCATGGGCCCTCACCAAAGCAGGCTCCGGGAAGTGGGCATAGGCGCTCATCAAAGCATGGGCCCTGGAAAGTAAGAAAGATGTTGAAGGAGGACCACAAAGAGCCAGTACCATGCGCGCGCGCTGGAGAGCAGGGCACACCGCCTGAGTAAAAACGCCAGGCTGCAAAATGCACATACAAGCAAAGCTCACAACTTGGGCCAAAAAAGACAGCCGAGCAGCCTAGCAGTCACTTCAAAGAATCATCAAAGCTCGTCCCAATCAATCAATGAAAACAGAATTTGATCGCAAAATTCGAATAGAATATATAACAACCAACCATGCTCCTGAAAGACATATTCAATAACTCAACCTCTGCCTCCCGTATCCCTCCGCTCGCTTTTGTAGCCGTCACACATCGAAGTCAATCATTGCCTCCTCCTGAACTGCCTGGAGAACACGGCTTTGCTGGAAGCAGGCCTCTTGACTTGGCTCTTCCACCCAACACTCGCCCGCTGAACATTCGTTTGCAAGAAGCTGTTCCGGCTTCAAACGCACGGAGCTGGCTGCAGAACCCCAACAGAGAAGGAAGAAGCTCACCCCAACATCACCAGCAAGATCAAGGGCCATGCTTGAAACCGCCCTTGATTACACAACCAAGCACCTTCAAGGTGTGGCCTCCGCAAGTTGGCCAATGTCACTGAGGCAGAACATATCTTTCTCGAGTATTGAAGACATGGCCTAGACCGTCATGAGGACTTGCCTGCTGACTGCTGCCCACTTTTCCTGACCCGCATCTAAGATTCGCCAAGACGTAAGATCTAGCTGCAGGGCGAAAGGACAGGGACCTCAATCTGCCACTCGGTCATGCTCGGCCCGATGGTCAATTGGCCGCATCCATCCTTGGAAACATTGGCATAGCCTGCTAAGGCATGGCTGGCCCTTCAATCTTTTTTCCTTCGAACCTCAGCCGTGCCAACAGAAGATCCGCTGGCAAGCGCTGAACCCAACCTAACCCCAAAGCAGTCCCCATCCTCAGGCGCAGGAATCGCCACTTCCCGTGCCTCCGCATCCATCTGGGCCTTGAGCACCCGGAATTGCCTGGCTTGGAGCCTTACTTCTTCAAGGAACCCATCTGTAGACGAACAAGGAAGCTTGTTCTGTTGCGGAATTCAGAGCGGGATCCGATCCTCGCCAATTGCCAGGTTTCCATCAAGTCCCTAGACTGTGGCAAGTCACCGCCCATGCTTGAAAAGGCAGGCGACCTCAATAAAGTATCTCAGCCTGCGCGTGTTTATCTCCTGGTGGGGTGTGACAAAGGTACCACTTTTTCGAGGAATGCCCTTGACACAAACTCCCGCCTCAGCTTCTCTTTTACCTGGTCCGGGGCCAAAGGCGCTCGGTCCCGCAGCTCCTGCAAAGTAAAGAATGACAAGTTGAAACTTGAAACGAGGTGCAATACGAAGGTGTATGCAACCTGCGCCATAGCTAGGATTGAGAGCACGCCGTGTGGTTTGCACATGGGATCAAACCTGATGCAAACGTGCGGATGGACACCCATGTCAAATGCCTGATTAAACGCCCACCACCATGCTTTCCAGCATACCTTATCCAATTATATTGTTCTATCTCAGCGTGGCAATACTTGCTGTGCCATGAAAAACGTCTTTTTCCTGGCAAGAAACTGGCCTCTGCAACCGGCCGAGAGCCGGCAAGGAGATGCTGAAGGAAATCTCGCTTCCTGGCTCCCAGGTTCCCCGTTGCGTGCCAACACCGTTTTACATCCAACCTCGAGGAGTGCAACGTCGGACGGCTACACGAAAGAAATGCCGAACACTACCAAGGGCATGAGGTCAAAGTGGCTTACCCAAGGTGATCTGATTTCTGGCTGCTTGCGCCTCTGGGGGTCATCACCCAACTCGGTCCAGTCATCCCAGCGCAAGCGGCGCACGTCCCAGCCAAGGGAGGTCAACCTTGGCTTTGGCTCTGGATCGAACCCGTTGGATGCGAGCATTCAAATTCGGGATTCCTGAAAGGGGGTTGCTTTCTCTTTTGGCCTCTCTCTGCAGGTACTCAGTCAACCCAAAACGGGGTCCCTATGTGGAGACGCATATTTATGTGCGTCAAGCGACACCAGCAACCAGGCGACTCACGAGCTTCAGCGAAATGACTTCTGTTATCTTCGGTCACTTGTCTCACGTTTGCTTGCGGCTTGGCAACGTCGCGTGCTGCAACTGCTTCATGGGAAGGTACTGGTCGCTGCCTTCAGTCGGCATTGTACGCTGAACAGGTAGCCAGTCAAGGGCTCAGTCGTTTGCAGCTCTCAACTTGCCATATGAGCTGCCTTGCATCCATCACATGTCTTGAGAGTCGAGAACCATTGAGCCAGGGTGCCAATTGAAGTCAGTGTTGAATGCATTGTCAACTTTTTATGCGCACTCTCGCATGGATTTGGGTGAATTTCGGAGTGAGCTCAGTCTCTAAGAGTGGCTGCAGGTGATGCTTGGATGGGTTCCTTGAAAAAGGTTCAAGGCCTTTGGCCTGGTTCAGCAAGGCGCCAGGGCTCACACTGCGTTTCTGGACATCAATCATGGGCGTCTGAGCCAGTGTTGCCGGGCAATGCCTTTTTTTGGGCTCTTGAAAAAAATCCTGGATGCACGTTTATACACCAGATGCATTCTGGGACACTTGTGAAATTAGACGTTCCTGGGTCCTGGGGACCGATGACGCATTGTTGTGCATTATTGTGCAATATGCAACACACTTGATCATTGTGTAGTTATGTGTATATATATATATATTCATCGATCATTATGCATGCTCATGCATCATTGAGCATGTTGATACATTTGTGAAAAACAAACAAGTAAAAGACACTCTGCCAAGTTGTGTCTGGGCGTCCAAATCGAAATTCGAACAAGCATTGATGCAAGCACTCAGGGGAGCGTGGAGCCAATAGAGATTGCCCCACACGCCATGCTCCGACAGACTGCATTTTAGCAAATGCGCATTCTGAGGTTTCCGGGTGCAGTGAACTTCCACCTGCCTTTGCCAGACTTTTGCCTAATTTGGGAGCCATGAAACTGAATTGAAGCACAAACATGGCATTCTACGAGTGATGAACTTGTGCTGTTCCACCGGAGCACATCCCAAGAGGTGCGTTGACAAGCAACCAACTGACGCAAACAATCGGCCTGCAACGCCTCCCTACAAGCAAGCAAGCAAGCAAGCAAGCAAGCAAGCAAGCACGCACGCACTCACGCACGCACGCACGCACGCAAGCAAACAACTGGCATGAAAACAAGGATAGGCAGGAAAACGGTATGACAGCGCATTCCGGATGCCTGATTGCTTGGGGTGCCCTGCCAAAGAAAAACGAGGAGGGGCTGTCCACCATGAGACATCGCCGTCTCTCATCCGCCTGCCCGGGTGGCGCGCTCGCTTCTTGGCTTCGCATGGTTTTGGCGGGTTTGTAATAACATGAATGCTGCTCGAGAAATGTCAGCACAACGCTCCCTGCAGGCGCCATTTTTGCAAACATCATGCAGGATCAATTAATTGTTAAACAGGCCGTGACACGCGCAAGGAACATACTATCTTCAAAACTCTGAACCACTCTATTACGGGCATTCAATCCTACACAAGCTCACCAAGGAACTCTCCAAAAAATGGGCTTCCTTTTGATGTCCTCTCAGCACAGGGAGGGCACCAATTGGAAGGCCACCTCTTCCGAACCAAGAAGGAACCACTCGTGTCTCCGCCTCGAGCTGCTCCAGCCCGATGTCGATGTACAGCGGCCCCCAACGAAAGGAGTTCCGGTGCGCCTGCGCCCAAATTGCGTTGGCCGGTGTCGTTTTTCTTTTTATTGCCAAGAAAGGCAGCCATCAAGCCTCATAGTTTGGGCAAGGGCTATGAACTTGCAGAGTATCAGAACAAGCTCATGAAACGGTCGACTAGTTATGTTCCGCAGGTGTCACTCAAATGCGCCCGAGCAGCTCCTGTGAACTCTCCGGTGTATTTTTATTATGCACCAACGTCCATTGTGGCTGCATTCAACAAATATCGCTGAGCTGCGGGATCTTAGCATCTTTTGTCTGGCTGAGACATAGCCACTAATTGCGTCCTGATGTGGTGAATGCAGTTGACAAACAGCGAAAGCTATGGGACGATGCTAGCTTGCGACCCGCTTCACGTGACGGCCCGGCACCAACCAAGGCCAGCTCTTCGGCAGGGGTGCTAAGCGTGAGAGTTGCCTGAAGACCTAAAGCATAACCCAAAATCTCTACGTAATTTCATAGCAGGTTCTTGGACTGCTTGAACCACGGCATGCATCCTGAACCATCTGAACCCATCAACTAGTGGCGGTAATTGCATAGGTGCCGTCATCTGAAAAGCTGTTTTCCAAGAGAGGGAAGCAAGCCCTGAAACGGCACAGTGCTCCCTATCTCCAGCCTCTCCAAGGTCAGCCAGATGCCGTGACACATCCCGGTGCATAGGCGAGGGTCTGACGGAGCAAGACCGCGACGCGCGGAACATAGAATGTTCTTCCAGGATTCTCTTGTCAGGTTCCATGCTAATTGGTGGGAGGGCTACCAGTAACCTTTTGAGTTGACTTTGCCGGCCCTCGCTTGTGACCCGAAACGCGCCTGCGCCCCCGGTCTGCAATGTGCCTGCCAGTTGAAACACATGCAGCGAGTGAAGCTTCGGGCGTCGGAGCAAGTGGGGGAGTGTCAAAGCTGAAACCTAACCTGACCAGTCAAACAAAATACTGTATCAACCATGCCTGGCTCTCAATTCAGTCTACGTCCTTGTCTTTTTTCTTTGCTCTGCAAGCACAGGCACCAAACAAAACCTTCGAATATGCGAGCTAAAAGTCTGCGTGTGCCGCAAATGGTCATTGCATTCGCGACTCGACATTTGCAGATTGAAGCCACCCTTCTCCATTCACCGTGCAAACAACATCGTTGCTGATGCATTGTACTAATTTAATCAAGGTGCTCACTCAAAGCACAAGAACGGAGAATTGTATAAACCCACAAGCCCTAGTCACGTGGAAAACGTCCATCCGCCGTCATGCCCTTTGGCCTCTGTGAAAGTCTCACGTAGAAGGACTTTGAGTCGCTCGACAGTCTCGGCCACACCTTGCGCCAAGCAGCTTTGACATGGGCCCTTCGTCAGTGCATCTGGTCTTCGCAAACAGCGCCGTGTTCTAGATGAAATAACTAAGAACCAATGGTCGCATGCTCAATAGCGTGTGGCCCAACCAGCTTGCAACCGCTGCCCTATCATACGGGTACACAAGGCCTGTGAATCATTCAAGACAGCGAGCCAGTGCGCACTGACTTCAAATTACAGCCTAGTAAACGAACATATATGGTACGTGTGTTTAGACGTAATTATATGTGGCCACTAAAGCAAACAACTATGGCCAAGTGTATCACAAAATCATAGAAACCAGCGAAACCAGCAGCACAGAAACACAAACACGCAACGCGCACGCAAATGCAACATACCCAAGCAAGGACAAACACAAACATCATGGAAATGCCGACGATACGACGAGAAAGCTCAATGTAGAAACCTGGCAATCTGCCTCCTAATGTTTGCCCCAAGGGCCGTTGGATTGGGCATTATTAGTGTGAGTCGGTCATGGTCTTCGAAATGTCACGTTTTGGCGCGCTTGTAGGGGCATGTGCCAGCATCAGAACGCCCTCCAGTTGTGAGTTCCCTTCAGGTTTACCTCGCAGATTTTGACAAACGTCCGTCCGTTCTCAGCAACCCGCACGCACTAGATGCATGTTTAAACGAAACCACTGTGAAGCCTCCGTGCATTGCAACTTGCCCAAGTTCAGAAGCAATACTGCTGGGCTTGCTTTGGGCACAGCTGCAATAAATCGCCTGCAAAACTGCGGATGCACATCATCTGGTTGAGAAAAACAACTTCAAAGAGCAACAACTTGTGGCTCTTGTGAGCCATCTTGCTTGCCCTTCCATCCCAGCCTGAGGCTTGAGAATGCGAGACACGACTGCAGACTGGTACCTGTGTCACGCGGTGCATTCCTTGGTTGGGCTGCAGCGCCTTTGTTCGTGCTTCTCATCGCTCTGGGGCCAACTGGCACAGAAAATGACCAGCAGAGTTGGACATCACAAATGCACTGTGAGAACCCCAGCATGTTGGGGATCAGAAGAACACTCGCAAAACGCATGAAACAGGCCCTCTGACTCGCTGGGTCGATAGGTAATTGAAACAAGCTGACCCTTGAACCTTTGCCTACAGGTCTGAATCTATTACACGTGTACTCGCATACCTGTGAACATGTGGCTTCCACCCCCGTCGGGATCGCACGCGTTCAGGAGATGCGTGGGCCGTGCAGTAATGAAGATCTTCCGGAAGCGCCTCGCGCATTTTCGGGCTGAATCCACAAGGCCAGCAAAACGTGGACCTACCGCTTTGGAAAATGCCTGGTGCCCATGGTGCTGCGCTTACCCAACCCGTCCGGGCGCAAAGAAAATCACCTTCCCTGCTCATTTCCATGTCTCTAAACGTTATTTGCGTGGCAAGCATGAGCAAGATGCCCGCATTCATCCGACGCTTGGCAGTTTACCAACGGAGTCAAACAGTTGCACATGCGGCGATTTCGTATCATGCTATTTCTTACACAACTGGCATAAGGTCATACAAAGAGTCGATCTTGCTTTTTGGAGCGGTCAAACAACGATGCGGAAGAAGGGCAATGGCAGCCGTATGCACCATCTAAGAGCGGCCTGATAGACGCGCAAACCTAGTTCAGGTACAGAATACCATGAGCACTATAGTAAATGGAAGTGAACTGACAAGACACCTTGTACCTCAATTGGCACCTTCTATGCAGAGGGCTTAAGAACAAAAGTGTTGACGTGTACCTCAGAAAGCAATGTCCTGCTCAATTTGTGCTTCCCTGGAGAAATGCGGTGTCATAGACTTTGGAAATTCCCGCATTCTCGTCTCGTCATGTTGGAGGGGATATTGCTTTTTGTGCGAAGGCGGCAGGTGCATCATCCCGCAAGCATACACGACGACAATCCACCCCATTTGACGTATCTACTCTCAGTAAAACATGCCAGCATGGCCAAAGCACAGCATATGCTGTCATTTTTGCAATGAACCCTGGCCCTTACCCAATGCTTTCCCAGAAAGCACTCCAGAAGTCCTAAAAGGGCTAGAAGCCGTTCAAGCCTTAGACATAGGCCTGGAATGCCTAGGGACTTTCTAGTAAACCAATTATTTCTAACATATATATATATATAAATTGTCTGTGTGGCCCTGATTGACGCAACTGCTGAGAAGCTTGCCTCTGCCAGCCTTTGAAGAACAAGGCAGCTCTGAAGAGGGCAGAACAAAATAGAATGAAGACAACTGCCCTTGAGAAAAATATCCATCAGCGCTGGACGATGTCTTGTAAGCTTAGAGGATTCCTGTTGCACCTGTTGAAGTCCTTGCTTACTTGTGTGTTGCGGCTCTAACTTAATCTTTCGTGCGAAATGGATTGCAACCATTGTCCCCACAGAACAAAACGTGCCAACCGGAGTTGCTCATGAGTAGGGACTCAGCACCGCAAGTTGCGAACTCTGGATACGGCAAAGGCACTTGTGACCAAGAAGGTACTCAAAACAGGTGTCCAGGACGAAACAAATCCCCTGGGAAAACGAAGGATGACCAAGGAATCATTCCGGACCATTGAAACAAGGCTCGCTGAAATCCAAGTCTAGTCCTTGTCTTCAGGGAGACTCTCCACTTTCAATCTACCCCCAGCTTTGCAGAGAAAACAAATACGGTCAAGCTGACTCCAATGCAGCTGGTTTAAACATCAATCCGACTGACCGTACACGAGCATCGCAATTGTTGGGGCGACTTCTTGGCTTCCAGGCTCCAGAAGGTAGGAGGTAACCTGAAGCAGTCCAGCCAAACACAAATAGTAGCTGGACATGAGGCATTCTGCAGCTTGCCAAGAGATGAGCTTGTTTGTTTCGAAACAGATCGGTGCACCTGCCAGTTGGCTCGCCTTGGCTTGAGAAGCATCCGGCTTGCTGGCCACGTGCATTAAATGCGTCTCTCTAACGCAAACAAGAAACTAACTCTTCAGCCAGAACTGGCAACCTCGCCGTGTCGTCTGGCTGATGGGATTACAAACTATTTGCTTGGCCCTACGAAGGCAGTAGAGCAGAACATATGATCCACAACCGACTGAACAGGTGTCCGGTAAAAGTTGCTCCTGACATGGGCGCAAATCTGCAGTTGTATCATTCTGCAGGGGATGATGTGACACGGTTCGGTCTAAGTGGCTGGCCACGCTGACTTGATATGACTGGTCTGTCAACTAATTACCGGAGGCGGAACGAGCAAATGCTGACGGCTTTCCTGACAAGTTGCGGAGAAGGCATCTGCTGGGGGCTGTTGGGGCACAGCTGACGCTTCACAAACACTCCGGGCAATACTTGTCAAATCATGCAACTCCCGGCCTCATCATCCCAAAGGTAGCCGATCGTGACCGGATGCACGGCGTCTCGAAACTGCAATAGGGGCAGCGCAGCAGGACCAGTAGGGAGCTACGTTCTTTCTTTGCCCTCGGCTTGCACGCTCGCATAAAACATTTATACCTTTCCGGGCTGCTTCCGATCAGTGCAAAAATAAGCAACAAACCTAGCCCGCTGAACAAACACACTTCGGCAAAGCTCCACTAGGACAACCACACTTCCTATTTCTATCTCGCTGGTTTTGAAAGAACGTGTGGTAGTTGGTCCACGGCACATAGACGGCCGTGGGGTTTTCAGCTGATTGGGTGGTTGGGGTGGATGGGGTGGATGGGGGCGTTGAAGTTGGGGATTGGGGGGGGATTGGGGGGGGCATTGGGGGGGGGTGGGGTGGGGATGTAATTACGTTCGTCGGCACGCGCCGTGCTTGACGTGAGCCCATCGTACACGCAGCAGCGCACGTGGGGGCGGGGGGGAAGGGGGTGAGGACTATGTTTTGCTTTTGAAAGTGGAGGGGCATTTTCTGTTGTGCAGAGGGCTCACACAAGTAGCAAAAGGAAACCCTTGCAGGAATTGGTATATAAACGCATGTACCTATATGTTTATGTGTCAATAAACATTCTGTGGCCTATCAGGATGTCGATATTGAGCATGGGGTCCTTGCCAGTGTCATGAGGGCAAAATGGAGGTGTTCAATACATTCACATGACACCAAGCAACCACACATCGACGTTTGCAGAGGGTTTTGTGGCCTATCAGGATGTCGATATTGAACATGGGGTCCTTGCCAGTGTCATGAGGGCAACATGGAGGTGTTCAATACATTCACATGACGCCAAGCGACCACACATCCACGTATGCAGAGGGTTTTCCTTTTTGGGGCTACCCTTCCTGTGACAAGCATGGTGATATGATGCTCAGCAAGGACGGTGATACGAAGGCTCTCGGCATGCAAAATGGTGTTCGCTGTGTCTTGGCAAGTAATTCCACCCCATTGCGAAACAGTCCTCGAACTCTTGAATAACGTGGCGCTCGTGGGAGGAAACATAGGTTTGCATGTGAAACTGCTTGTAACTGCGGCGCCGAAGAGTGTGTCTCAGGAAAACACGTTTCCCCCGTGGAATTTACAGCGCATGAGCGCAAAGGCAGTGACGTGCATGAGAAAACCTCACGGCCGGCTATGTGCCGTATGCCTAGTTTGCTGCTCCACGCTCCCTGCCTGTGCAGCGAGAATCTAACACACACATAAATAGCCACGAGCTCACAAGCCAAGCAAATTTCCTCAGAGTCCATCCACAATGTCGAGTTGGACGGTTGCTTCGCACAGAACGCCTTGTGTGGGGCATGGTCATGGCCCAATGAATAGGATTCCTTACCAACATTGTTAACATTCCCCTTACCAAGCCCAAGCAAAAGGCTTGGATCTTGGCGACGCCTGCTGAGCAAACGTCTCCTCAAGCTTCTCCACCGCCACCCGGCAGAGCGCAGCCTGCGTCGAGGGAAGCTCTGAATTTGGGTAGAGAGGTCAGGACCTCCAGTACGTCTGCGATGAAACGCCCGCTTTGACGTGTTTGTTTTGCAGCGGCATTTGAGCAGTGGCTTTTTTTGGTGGTTCGGGACTATTATATACTACTTGCACGCCGCTGGTTCCCTTTTTGTATAAACCCTTTCATTTGACTAAAAACCGCTGCTCATTTGAGTTTACTCCACCAGTGGCACAACAAGCCAACGCGGATCAAACGCCTTGAGGCCAGCATCCTTGAGGCCGAGCTGCGCCAACGCGTTGGCCACCTCAAGATGGACCCTCAAATATCGGTCCACTTGGGCCCAGATGGGCTGGAGCAGTGGCTCTTTGCTCTTCCACGGTTGAGTACCTTTGCCATTTAATCAATTGCTTGAATAATTTCAATCGTTTCAACAATATGCATGTCCTGTATCCTGTGCAAGCCGAGGCAGCTGCTCATGCAGCCAGCAATCACCGCCGATTCCATGTGTTTACACGTGCCGATTGTGTCACATTGACATGTCTCGAATGGGCGTAAATGCAATGAGCCTCCAGACACTTCAACTAGAAATCAACTGGTTGGCACCTCAAAGAACTACAACCAACACAGTTGCCAAAATTGGTCATTTGAAAATTCGCACTGCTTTGGCCGCTGCCCTGTTCCACTTCCGGGGACGGTTCGATTTGGACTTGCTCTTGGTTCAGAGCAGGGCCTAATGTACAACAGGAGTCGTGCGTTACCAAAAGCAACAATGGAAACTCACAGTGAATGTACTCTACGAGAAACATTCGTTGCGGGCCCGTATGTAAGAAACACGACTCGAATGCTTTGCGCTCTAGATCAGCTTGTCATTTGACAGTGGGACAGCAACTCAATGGAATTGGAAGCACGCTTAGGGAACGAAATGCATGTGTCGCGTAAAGTGCGCTTCATGCGTGCAAAAGTCGTTTTTGACTGTCCGACACTACCATTATCTCCACTCAAATCAAGGTCTACATACGATCGAGGTTGAGTGGCAAGCATTGCAGCTCTTAGAAACCAATTTTGAGTAACCTCAGTGTCGAACAGAATGACCGCAAACAAGATACAAGCACCCAAGCACAGTCGCTCGTTTTCATTGTGGCTTGCGTCCAGCTTTGCTGGGCTGTTTGCGTCCATGCAACTCTGCCTTGCCCTGTTCCTTTAAATGTATTTGGCAGACTCTCCACGCCTACATGCTCGCTTTGGATGAGGGCGATCCGTGCGTAGATCGCATCCATCAATTCCATACATTTGTTTGAGACGTCAAAGCGCCTGTGGACAGGGCTGTTGTTGACAGTTCTCGAAAAACCAAAAAAAAGGGCCCGCGCCTTGATGAAATCCGAGGGCCGAAGAAAATCGATGATCTGCAGCGCATGCTGCGCAGCCAGGCGATTGAGCTCGGCGTCATGCCAGCGCAATCTCTTCATGCACCACCTCAAGGCCCCACAAAACTTCTGATGATCGGCATTCCCGGCGAGATAGACAGCCAGGCCTTACAAGTAGAAGGCTTGCTCAGTTGGTAAGCATATGAGTCACAATCAAAACCGGGTACTAAAATGGTCTACCCAGAACCTGTAAGGAATTAAGAAGGCGGCCGCAGATATTTATGGTTGGGATTGTCCCTTAACCTTTATCTACCCGATTTTTGATTGTGGCCATATCTTATAGGCCCTGGCCTGGAGTTAGATGTCCTTTTGGTTGCCTTGAGAAGTGGTCCACGAAGAAACCGCCCGGCCCCACTGAGGACGTGCGGATGTTGGGCCAGGTTTCTAGCTGTTAGAACATTTCGGCCCCTTGGGCGTTCTGCCGCTTTGCCGCCATGATGCAAACATTAGCAGGAGGCTTGAGAGAGGAAGTGCACCTTGCATGTTTATATTCTGATTTGAGCTGCAAACAATTATTCCAAGATGACATGGCAATCCTATGAATAGGTCCATTTCCCGGAAAAGGATTTGGTCATTCCTTCTTTGCTCGCCGCTCATTCATTCGGGAAGGGGTGTCGTGCAAAAGCAAAATCAGGATTGCTGGTAGTTTGCTTGATTTACTGGAGGCTGACTCCAGCCGACAATGTCTTTACGATTGAATGCCCTCCTCAATTTGGCATTTCCTGGCTCAGAGGTCTGGAGAAAACAATGGTGTCCTTAAAAGTAGTCATCATCCCCCCCTCCGTGGAACAAGAAAACAACACCCAGACCCGCCAAAAGCAGAGGACGCGATTTTCCGACCACAACAAACACACAGAACACTCTCACACACACCCATTGGCATGACCGAAGACAGACATATCAAAATCATATCAAAATCCATGCCCCCCATCCAACCCCTTCCACAGGTCAAGGAGTCAAGGAGCATGAGGGACATGAGCCCATGGGACTGGAACTCGGGCAGCTTGGCCTTGATCTCCGGCATCATCTCCCGGTAGAACTTCGCGTCCACGAAGCTGCTCTTCCCGTAGCCCCACAGCACGTAGCCCAGCCTCACGTCTGCGGCGTCCGCGGCGCTATGTGGGCATGGGTCAAAATAAACCCCCAGCGGACCGCGGATTTCAGTCCATGATTGAATTTACCTGGGTTCCATTTTGGGAACATATGTTTTGACCCACAGCCATGTGTCTGTCTGCCTCTCAGTCTGCGTGCTCACAAAAAGGCCGGAAAAATTCGAGGTAGGCTGAAATGCGGCAGGGTTTGGGAAGTATCCTCTTGTCTGAGACAGGAAAGGGGCTCGTGGAAGACAAATGCTGCCCATCCACGCACCTAGGGACCTAGAGGAGAGAAACACAGGCACAGGGTCAAACAACACAAGCTGGTACTACATGCAGCCCATTCACAAAGTTACGTGAATGAAGATGCCCAAGCTTCCTGGGGGTGAACATATTCCAACGAGCGGGCCAATGCAGCACGCATGTTCAAAACCTTTCACGTCAAGTCAAACGATGGACTCGATCATGAAAGTTGGCATTCGCATCCGGACAGAGTTGCGCATCTAACACCCGAGCGTATTATGCTCCTGTGGTCAAACGAGGACATCAACAATCAACACATATCAACACGGAAATCGCAAAACCCAATGCGCTGGATCCTCTGCTCAAGTCTTTGGCAAGGAAAACCACATCTGTCATGAAGGTTTCCTCGAACATGTTGAACAAAGTGGAGCAGCATGCAAAAGTCTATTCTTCTTCGCTCTTGCCGCAGATAGGATACTAACAACTGCCTCAAGGATCTGATGCGTGTTCTTGTTGTCTGATGTCTTAACTGGGTTCAAGGCCGTCCCTCAGCTGTTTGGTAATCGTGTGGTCTCCAATGTGACTCCTAGGGGATCCCAAAAATCCGAGACAACATGTTGCAAAGGCAATGTGTCAATGGTTGGCCAGCTGAGCAGCGCTCAAACCTCCCCGATAATCTTAAGGCGCTTGGAGCAGGCAGCACGTGAAAAGACTACCAAAGCATACATTTGCTCATCAGTGTGCACGGGCTGTTTGCCAGTTTTCCAAAATGCAGGGGAATTTGCGCGAAAGCTCCGCGAAAGCTTTGCGAAGCTCCGTGAAAGGCGTGGGTCAGGATCCAAGGGGTGGCCTCTTTTGCACACGATTCTTGCTGAAGAGTTGTGGTTTTCGAGCTGGAGCTGCCAAAGTGCACTTGGCGTGCTACGCTTGTTCCAAAAAAAGTTGGAAGCTGGAGCTACCACGTGTACTGTGGGTATTATTCTTGTACTGAAAGACTGCCCCGCCAAGGAGCCGCCGCGAAAGAGTCGCACAAGGGTTGATGCAAAACAAGCCGCCGCGAAAGGCAAGCGCGCACGCGCGAAAGCTCCGCGAAGGAGCACTAAGAGGGTAACCAAGTCTCGATCGGTTTTCACCGCCCGGCTGCCACCAAGCACGGTTCCCGGTTCCCCTCTGAAAGGCCTCTGTTGCCCCTGTTTTTTGTGGGGGGGAAACCTATTGCCCCTGTTGCTTTTTTGGGGGGGAAACCTCAGAAAGCCCCAAAGAGGTGTCCCATGTGTCCCACTGAACTCGGCTAGGCGCTGCTCAGGCGTCAGCTGATCCTTGAGCTCCAGCAGCCGCTGGGAGTAGCCGAACCAAAGCTTCACCTCGAAGGCCCACTGGGGGCTCTGACGAAAGCCGAGCCGAAAAACCGCAACCATCCGGAAAAAGATGTGCCCTCCCACCATGGAAGTGCAAGGCCCTTTCCAAGAGGAAAGTCGTCTTTCTACAGAAATCTGTGCACTTCCATGTTAGCTGGTGGGAGGATAACCCCAAAAATACAAGATGTGTCCCATACCCGGAATCCCCCAAACCATCCACAGGATCTGCTCCCACAAGATGTGTCCCCAACAATTGCAATGGAAACCACTTCCTCGAAAAACTGACCGTCTTTCTGTTGGAAAAAGCCCTCGGTTGCATATCCACCGTTGCGAGAATAGGACGTGAGTGTGGGTGGTACGTGTCTTGGCATTATATAGAGTTGTGTGTTCGCGTATGTTGGTTTAGTGCCCGCAACGAGTCCCAAATATTTGTGCTTGTGTGCAATATCTCGCTGATTTTGTGCTGGCAATACCTGTCTCGGCGGTTGCGTGCTGAAACAAACTACCCCATGTGTTGTAAATAAGAAAACATTTGATATCCATCATTGGGGGGGGACATGTTGCTCTATGTGTTGCAACATGTGCAAGTAAAAGTCGCTGCGTTGACTCTGACTGGCTTCGTCGCGGAAAGACTACTATATCTCATGTCATGTGCCAAAGAACATGTTTCTTGGTCAGTCATCTCGCTGCTTGGATTGCGTGTACGCAAAACGTGATTTGCATGCAATCTCTCTTGATGCTCTCGTTGGCTGGTGCTGGGAAGCACATGTAAAAAGTCGACTTTCCTTGATATCTTGCTAGCTTGGTCTCGGAAGTTGTTTTCCTACTTGCTGCCAATAGAATTCCTTTGCTACCCCTTGTTGATTTCGTGCTGGAGATGTGCCTTACGTAATTGTTTTGTATGTAACAATCGTTTGTTGTCTTTTGGCTGGGCACACCCGAAATCCGATAATGCTCAAACAAATGGATTTTCTGCCGAAGAAGACTGCAATACTGCTCGAAAGTCAAAGTACTGCTGTGCTGATCAGGACATGCTACCATGCATATTATGTATTGTGAGTAACAGCCCTTTGCTGCTGGAAAATACTTGATTGTGATGCTTTGTTCTTTCTTATTGGCTGATTGCCGCAAATCGTTTGACAGTGGCAATACTGTGACTTGGGGGAAGCATGATTGTCCATGTTTGATGAGTTTTGGGCTTGTTGCTGCCGCATGTACAGCTATCATGTCGTTTTGAATTGACTTGAGGACCTTTTCGGCTTGAGGCCCCTTAACGTTGTGGATTTCAACTTGCTTATCAGCTTGGTGTGGTGTAGATTGGCAAAATTCGTTCGACAGCAATTAGCTCTGAGCTGACACAAGGACTGGATTTGCAGGGCCGACTTGCCGCAGTCACGGTTGCCAGCTGCTTGTTGTTAACACCCAAACACAATTCTTGCTATGTGGGGTCTAGGCTGAGGAGGGGATTCGGTCAGACACTGAAAAAGCCGCCTTCCAGCAGGGGCGTGCTCCACGCCATGATCCCGCACACCCTGTAATTACAATTGAAACGGCTTGGCACACCAAAAAATATACAGCCAGCTGTCCGCACTTGCTCTTCGTTCTAGCATGCTGCGAAACTGGTGCGCCCGCAACCCTTGAATTCATTCCTCCCTTTGATGGCCAAGCCACGTCGTGCTTCCGCAAACTCGCCGCCTTCTGCACACATCTGGTGATGTAAGTGGCCTCAGAGTGTAAATGTTCGGCTGTCTTGTGTATTGTTCACCAGCTCAGAAGTTCTAATGTGCTTCGGGGGACCTGCATGAGTATGCTGGTGAGCTTGAAGGACGTTTGTACGCGGATGAAATCGAACAACCAGCGTCAGCAACATTCGACTTTGATCAACGGAGCCAATCTGGATCCCCCGCTGCATTCTGGCTGATCTCTCGAACAGCTTTGAGCCTTGCGGTACATAATAATAATAATAGTAATAAATCTATACATATATACATATATACATAATACTGAACAGCATGTTCTCATCCCGACCTTTGGCCACATCTCCGGGCATTCCAAGGCGCGTCCATGAGCGCCGTGTCGGAGGTGAGGGTCACGGGCAGCGGCAGCCGGAACTGCCGCACCCGGTTCTGCGCCCAGGAGCGCCACCTCAATGCACTGGATACCCACAGGGTATCCGGTAGGTCAAGCTGTGAGGGCAAGGGGCACGCATCATCCATGGAAAACGTCGACATGGAGATCCTTCATGATTCCTGATGGTGAAACAAGATGCTCGAACTGCGAGCTCCAACAAAGCATGTTTCCACACACGCGCAAGTGGCTCGGGCTTGTCACAAAGGCATGCTGTGCTGTTTTAGCATTGATCTTACTGCCCTTAGTCAGCAACAAGGCACGCTTACACGTGTCTCGACAGCATTCGGCAATCATCCCACGCTAATCGATCTATACGGAGGCCTAAACACAACATGACAAAAGCAATGGCAGGCAATGCTTGAGAAAACACAAGAGGCAATGCTTCATGGAAGCTATCAAAAGAAGTGTCCTTTCCTACACACAGCTTTGTCGTGGCTCCCGAAAGCTGCGGGGCACAATCTCAAAGATTGGGAAAATGCCGACGTGCATTTGGAGGGTGCACGCTCTTTCTAAAACTTCATTGTCACATTGCCAGCGGCTTCTGCATGTTGCGCAAACAACCCCAAAACAATGAACTGGTAACTGGTCCATATTCTAGCCTCCTCTTCCAGCCCCGGCCTCTTGTTGAAGCGCGCGATGCCCTTCTTGCGCAAGTTCTGCTCGTCGCGGACCGCTCGAAGCGTCATGCGCTCTTGCTTCCGCATGCGCGTCTGGGCAGTGGGAGTTTGGTGTTGGGCTGTCCGCAGCCTACTTTAAGACCCATAATGGGGTGGAACTGAATGAAACCCATTTCAGCATTGAACCAAACACGCTCGCACAGCATGAATTCCATAGTCTGACTCCAGTGTTCATTTTCAAGCCGGCTGGATATTCGGGTTGGTGCCCTTCAAACTGCCCCTTTTCGTTCAAAAGCCAGACTAACGCCAAAACAAACAAGGGCCGCAAACTTTGGTTTACTTGTCATGGGGCAGGCATGGCTGCTGCGGTCCCACTCTTGGGTTGCTGATCTAGTTCCACAAGAGCATCTTGCTGGTTTAAAACTGAGACCTGTTCATGCCAATCAAGCTGGGCTGAGAGGCTCCGGCGCGTTCAACATTGAGATCACCTGCCATCTACAGTACACACTGACACATGACACACCAATGGTGACGCACGCCACCTGCATCCACAACCTACCACACAACAAATGTGAATACCCAACACCTGTTTGAACGCACAACTCAGCTTGAATATGGCGAACCTTTTTCAATGGACAATAACATGAGAGACACCGCTCCGTAGATAATAGAGGTAAGAAGCTGTTGATTTGTCCTTCGCCAGGCGCCTGAACATGTGGATACTTTTGATGTCAAACGCAATGAACTTATCCGAGATCACAAAATCCCTTATCTGGATCAGCTACGACCCAGATTCTGCCGGGGGCAAAGGGGGGGGCTACAAAGTACTGCTGCCAAGCTAAAACCTCCACAGTAGCTCAGCCAGTAGGCTCAGAATCAACCGAAGCTTTCGCCTCAAGAGTCGAGCTTGGAACGCGGCTGCGTTCATTGCGTGGCATGTTCAGGCAGCACCAAACTTCTATCAGAGCCTGGCCATCCCGGCAACCAAGCGTCTCAACATGTGCGCAGCTCACTCACCCCCACCTGGACTGCTTTTCTTCCCGGGACCCCCGCCGCCCCCGCGGCTCCCCGCAGAAGAGCCAAGGCACGCTGAAAATTCCGCCCCTGCCATGGCGAACCCCACCGCCGCCACCAGGCCCCCAGGAGCTGCCGAGGGACGCCTCCCCCAGAAAGGCCGCGCGGAGGCGCTGGAACATCCGCGCCCGCCGCCCGGATTTCTCCGAAAAACGGGGCGCGGGCCTACACCGGGGAATGCCGCGCTGAGAGGGCACCTGCCGTTGGGCTCATGGGTTTGCTAAGGTTCACCATTTTCTATGGCTCACTATTCATCAGAAAGAGGATGGAAGAGGGTGGGGTAGTTGGTTATTAGGGTGCGGTCGCCAAACGGCGCCAGACTGCCACCTGAACTATATATTGTCTTCATCTCTGCGCGAGGTTCCTTGACTGTGTGACAACTCAGGGCTGTTCGACTCTTGACTGTCTCAAGCTCTTCATGTGCTGCTGCGCATCAGTGCACACTCTCTGTTTCTGTGAGTCGGCATTCAAAGGACGTGGGCTCCGAGCTCATGCACTGCGCTTGAATGCGCTGGAGGTCTGTTCCAGCGATTTCCTCTTACGAAGCTCGGCGCCTCCGAGCTGATTTGTAAAGCCAAGAAGCCGGCGACCAAAGTTGCCACGTTGATCCGGTAAACTCAGCCAGCTCATCTTCGACACACTTAGGATTAAGACAAACTTTGGCCCAGGACTCATCCGGGAAAAAAAAAAAGAAAAGAAACAGGAGAGAAAGGCACACCAAGACTGGATTGCACAAAGCGGGGTCTGGCAAGGATGCTTTGCTGCGACTCCGTCAAACCGGCACGGGACGGAAGTGTGTAGGTGTGTGCACCTGCTGGAGCTGCCACATCATGATTCCCTTCTGCAGCTATTGGATACGTTACATGCATCCATTTGTCGATTTCAAAAGATGTGTTTAGGTGTAGTGGTGCTGCCGCGCACGAAACCGTTGCCTCTTGAAGTTAAAACAAACCGTTGCGACGAGCATTCTACACACAAACAATTGGAATCCAGAAAACCATCAAACACCTGGGCTTTGAACAATTGCAGCCGTGCCTTTTGGGCAAAGCCATTTTTTGGAAGCACCCAAGAAAAACAGCTTCTTCAGGTTGTGCAAAGCGAGCCGTGCTAGACTCTGGAAGTGGGCACTTCTCAAAACAGCTTGGTTTCTCGACCCCGAATCGATCCCTGGCCACCCTCTTGCTTGCAGCTCATGCTGGCTTGATTGACCTTTTTAGCTCCCCAAATCCCCCAAGCAATCAAGCTAGCAACAACCCCCACAACCAACGAAAGCGGAAAATACAAGGCGGAATCTTTTCAGAAGCCGCACTTGTGCCAGAGGAAAACGCAGACGGCTCAAAACTGTGGCCGCCTCTGGCAGCCAAAAAAGGCAGCAAAACTGGGATTAGCCCTGGATACAGCTCCATTAGATGGTGTAAGCCTGCAAGCCGTAAATGGGGCGTCCAGTCAAAGTGTTGGCCAATGGCCAATTCTTGGCCAATTTGGCCAAACCTCGGGCTGCACTGGCCATGGTGTCTATCCTGGAAGAGTAAGAGCTGCAACCAGGGGGAAAGGCAGCCTTCACTTTGTGAGATCCGAGCTGCACACTGCGCTGGCCCCCTCGCTCATTCGCGCGCTTCCGATTGGGAAAACTCGCAAAGGCCGATCCACCTTCGCCTCCCCCTTGTCCATCCCTTCATGAAGCGCTGGAATGTCTTGTAGGGACCGAAAGTCATCAGTATACAGCCAGGTTGGGATTTTGCATTCATGGAATCGGTTCGTGCTGTATGAGTGGTGATCAAGCTTATATGCATGTGTGCGAAGTCACCCGCCACTGTTTACATCTATTTACAACCGGTGACTGCCGTTTGGAACAGCGCAGCTCTAAAATGATACCCTGTCACCCTTTTGTCTTACAGTTGTACATTGATTCCATTGTTGGTTTTTGCACAGCAAGAAACACCGTTGGCATAACAAATAAATGTCCTTTCACCCAAGCATGCTTGCCCTAATGAGGTTGTCAACATCTCTAGCAATGTTAGACCCTTCATTGGAATTGGGTCCTCTATTGTAGCATGTTCGTTCGCAATTCAGGATCCTGTGACTGTTTTGGGGTCCTATTGTGGCAAGCATTAGAAACTCTTTTTTTGAAGTGGCGACCAAACCATCAAATTCAAGATACCTTCTTTACAACAAAGTACGGGCAAACAGTCACACAAAGGGGGTTGCCCACTGATCCTCTTTAAAATGACTGTTTTGGGGTCGCCTTTAATGTCCAACTTGTTTGGGGGTTGCTGTCCTCTTTAGTGTCCAACTGTTTAATTCCTAAACTAAGGCCTTAGCCTTTTACTTTTAGGGTGGTTCACCAAGCTCTTCCCAGCTTAAAGGGTAAATGCCTTAGATCTAGGAAATTCATTTTGCAAGTGGTCCCCAAACAAACAAATTTAAGATAACCTCTTCACAAAAAGGTATGGGCAAACAGTCTCACAAAGAAGGTTGCCCACAGGAGCCCTGATCCTCTTTGATGTGACTGTTTTGGTTTGTATTTTTTGTGTCCAACTTGTTTGGGGGGTGCTGAAAGAAACGAGCTCTTCCCAGCTAAAATTAGAACTGGCAATACTAGGTAAGGGGGAAACTGAAAGTTAGTCTTGGCAATTCTAAATTTAGTGGGCAATACTAAAGTAAGTTCCGGGGAATCTGAGAGTTAGTCTTGGCAATGCTAAACTTGGTCTTGGTAATACTAAAGTCTGCATTAATTAGCAAGGCCAAGTCCTACCCAGTCCCCCAGGTTTTTCCCCAAAGAGGGTCACGCTGACTGGTTCCTGGTCCAACACTACACAACATGCCTGGAACGGATACCCGTGTTCTATTTGTTTGTGCTTGGCATCTTGAGACAAGCAAGGTGTTAGAGACAAAGCCCTCGGCCGCTCACTGTCCGATCCAAAGCTTGCCCTTCTCCGTGCTGCCGGCTTTCAGCTTCTTCCACGCGTCATGGGTCTCCTCAATGACCTGCACCGAGTGAGACATGAGACACCAGGAGACAGCTGCCCGGCGAGCCAAAGAAAGCTGGGAAGGGGTTCAGCACGGCCATTGGATAATTACGAAAAATTAACAGGCAAAAGAAGAATGACTAAGATCAAGGTAAAACTCTGTACATTAGACATAGGCACCCAAGCGTTGAAAAGCAGCGCCTCACACAACAGGGAATGAATTGATAGCTCGGGGAACTGGCAATCCATTCATTCATCCCTTTTCCGTGCAAGGCTTCTGATGTCTCCAAAAACACTCTCGCAGAGAGACAAATGGAATCTCATTTATTTGGACAAGTAAGCCTGTGCGGGGTGGGAATTTTTGATATTTACGATGTGTAACTAGGACTGGGCACGAAAGCAGAATTGGACACTTGCTCCAAAGCTGAGCACTGTTGCCTACTTGGTGCTCATCATCTTAATATGTCTGCTGCTTGGGAGCAATCTGAGCCCAACAGTCGTGCAAGCATCGATCTAATTGCAAGCCGTGAATGTGGGTAGGACTGCTGCAAACATGGCAGGCACCAAAATCATTTCCTCTGAAACATGAGCTAGCTCCGACTGGGTAATTCCGTGACAACGGCCGCCATCCAAAGGAAAAATGCATGACGGGCATGAGCCAGTACTCTTTGCTCAAGAAAACGAATCCCAAATCATTGAGCCATGGGTGCGCTGGGAAAGACTGAGCTACGTCTGCTGCTTGTCACACAGTCTTCTTCTGATGTCACCCAACCAGGTTGACGCATGTGATGGGCGAAAGGAGGGGGCTAAGCAGCACGCCCACAGGTGAAGACGGAGCTTACAAATGGAGGGTTTCACTTCTGCCTCCAGGGCAAACTTCTTGTCCAGGGCTTTCTCCTGGCACTCTGGACGAGGGCTCTGGAGGAGTACTGCCTCCAAGGTGTTCAAGGAACCAAAATTATAAAGAAGCGATCGGGTGTTCGGGTTCCGCTGCCAAACCCAGAATTTATCATTGCCAACGCAAGCGCAAAGGTCAGAAAATGCCAACAATGCTCCCTCAGTATGGTATAGTCATCCGCCGTACTTAACCAGGCTCCTTGATTCTGAGCCGATGTCATGCCATTGCTCTTGTTCCGAGCGCGGATCACCATGATTCAACAGCATCTCCCACTCCTCGAAGCCGAAGGCGTTCAAAGGCTTGCCATCAGGCGTCTTGTACCATCGGAACCTGAGTTGCAAGCATCTGAGAGGTTTCCTCAGACCAGACTGGCTGACTTGCAAGCAAAATCTGCTGCTTCACAACGCGGGTGTCTGGAGTTGCTGTCGTGCAGTTACGCGTTGACATTGTAGCTTCTTCAGAAGGACAAGGTGGCACTATGCCAACTCGTTTCACAAGTTTTTCTGCTGGCCATTTCTTTCAAACAAGCCTGCAGCCAGACCCAAATGATCAGTCACTCGCCTTTTCCCGTCTGCACCTGACTCCGCAGTCAAAAATTCCAAGCTTTAGAACTGGCTTGGCCAACATCTAGTGTGTCAACCTTGAAAGAAACCAAATGCAAGCAGGGCTGTCACAACACCGTGGAACGTGGCCTGTGCCAGACGCTCCAAGAGAACAAAGTTGTGCTGACAGCAAAACACTGAGCTACAGCTGCGCGATTGGCAGCTTGAAAACGAAGGCCAAAACAGCTGGTGAGACTAGCTACATTGCCAACTTCAGAAGGCCCCGCAGCGGAACGAATACCGCGAGCGATACAAACACAAAACTTGATGAAGGCCCAACCACACCCATGCTACCTGGTGCAATATGGGGCGTGTTCCTTTGGCAACGGCCAACAAATACGTTGCAAAAAGGAATGCGAAACTTGCCGAACACCCCAGCAATTTGGTAGCCTTAGCAACTAGCAGTCACCACCCGCAGCACAAGTGCAAAGAGTTGCCAGCCTCACCAGCAAACGCTTTCCAGATTTGGGACCAACAATCCGCACGCGTTCTGAGGGGGTTGTAAAGTGTAAATATGGTGAGACCAAGGAAGCCGACCACAGTGCAGTCACCCCAACACCCTGCAAAAGGCCCTGGCCACTCTCGGATGCCACTGATGACGCCCGGGCACTTTGCCTGGACCATACGCATCCCAAGAGGCCAGTTCCACAAGCGAAGCGTTGCAGTAGGATGGATCTGGATTTCTTGTGGAGATTCCTTTGGACTAGTCGCTCTCTGGCATTGAGTGATTGGAGCTCGGGTTTTGCATTCGGATGAGCTCGGATCCATTTGGATGTAAGCTCGCACATCCCAAATCCAAATTACGGAAGTGAGCCTGGGCCCAAGTGCTTGCTTGGCTGCCTGAGCACCAAGGTGCCAGATGACGTGGGTTGGAGCGAGGGTTGTCCCTATCGAACTAAGCTCAGATTCAAAAAGTGCCTTTCAATCCCCCTGTACTGCATGGTTCGCAAGCAGTTGGCTTCTTAGGCCGTGGCGCTTTGCAACTCAAAGCACTTCTTATCGCAAGTTGAGCAAAGTGCTACAGCATCACCGTCCAGCCTCCACATCATCAATGTCATTGAGCTCAGACGCCAGCTTGTCAGCCTGAACTCAATAGATTAGGGCAAAATTCCTCAAACACGATGGGTTGTGCGATAGGTACCAGGAGAGGCACTTTCAAGTTTGTCGGATCCATGTGCAGCCGCAACACTTGGCAATCACAGGCTACCCACACACACACACACAAACAAACACACAAACACACACACAAACCAAATGAACATGTGTGCCTACACAGCTGAGATCCTTTGGTGTCCGCTGATGTCAATCGGGTATCAGCACCGAAACCCCGCTTGATAAAAACTGCGCCGCAAAAACTGCATGAGAGATGTTGATCGCACAACCGCGCCAGCCTCCGAAGACTTGCCAATAGCTGAGGCCCAAGACAGCGATCACAAATCCCGCGCGTGGGGTGTCAAAGGGAGCGTGTCAGCACGGATGCAGCATCTTGGGAAAAGCCCATGCGCTGCTTTCAGTATGTCACACTGAGACATGTACGCCATTCGGACGCCATTGCTGCCAAACGAGGTACGCGCATGAGTCACAAATGCATCGCAGGCTCTACGCAATTGGCAAAAGCGGCACTCACAAATTGAAACCGAAAGTCACTCGGTGTTGGGCACCGCCTGGATGTTTGGTGGGGTTGCCCTATCCACTCCAATCTCAATTCCAATGTAAATCATGTTACGACAACAGGCTCCATGAGGCAGGGGACCTCATACAAATCCGGACGAGTAGAGTTACAGTTCGCACAAACAATCTCGTTCAAACGCTCCGCTCTTGCAGAATGCAAGTACCTTCTCCTTGAACAGTGCTCAAAGTCCGCATTTGATTTGATTTGGGCGAATACTCTTGTTTCTCACCATCCTTTGATTGGCTTGCTTTGCAGAGTGGACTCAACTTACCGAGCCCCTGCAAGCTGCCCTGAGCGCAGAGCCACCCGAATGCCAATGACCTTCCTTGGAAGCTGAAGCAGTTGTGTCGCTGGGCATGGAGAATACAAGCTCAAGTGCTGAAAACATGAAAAGCGTTGGAAGAAATCTCCAGCACGGGGAACTATATTAAACATCTTAGGCTATGAACCACCGCACAGCATGAATGCCTCGAAGCCCAGGGAAGGAGTAAGAGGCCTTCATCGGCATAACGATCGAACAGCGCGAAGGGCACGCCCATGGATATTGCTCTGGCGTTCCCCTCAAAAGGTCAAGCGGGAAGGGTGAGTTTCCCAAAACCAAGGTCCGCACAACACAAGTGCCAAATCGAACTGGCTTGGCAAAAGCTCAAGGAGAACAAGAACAGTCATACTACGTAGTACTTGAAGGGGAGACAAAAGGAAAAACATCTGCATCCAATCACACCAGCTTGCCTATCTCCTCTCCAAATGAAGAGAAATCAACGACTTTAGTGACTTGTATCACTTCTTGGTCCTGCTCCGAACCTCTCAACTCTCCTGCGCTGGGAACGATCTGGGACCCACACAAATGAGATTATTACTGTACACATATTCACACCTATGTGCTGGCCTGGAAAATCATGTCTCACGTGACCGACGTGACCAAAGCTTCTCATGCCTGGAACCTTTACAGCGGTGGTCGCAAAACTTGATTCTAGAGCTGCAAGATGATCAGGTGTTGTCTGAATCCCACTTTCACAAACACTCATCATCACTCGTCGCTCCACCACATTGCTTGAGGAAGCTCACTTCACTTGCAAAAGGGCTCAACAAAAACGGGCACCCTCGTTGTGGATGGTGCAATCGTCCAATACAAGCACAGGATGCCTTGAACGCGAACCCTGAAATATTCAGCACGGGGCCAGTCCAACTCGCCGTCGTCGATCATGGCCAGCACCCCCAGGACCTCGCAAACGGAACTAGCGCCGGCAGAACGCTGGCCGCCTGGCACCTGGGCCTGCCTTCAACCGGCATTCTTCGACACTGGGTGTGAGCAAGGATATTGGCATGCACGCTCCAGGCAATTCGATGGAGGTGAAGAGGCATATGTGCATGCACACAAGCGCACCCTCCCTCAGCCACTCACCCATCCACGAACAACAAAAACAAACGAACGAACGAAGGAAGAAGGGAAGGAAGGAACAAGCAAGCAAGCAAGCAAGCAAGCAAGCAAACAAACAAGCAAACGAGCAAGCAAGCAAGCAAGCAAGCAAGCAAGCAAGCAAACAAACAAACAAACAAATCAAACAACACACAATCAAACAATCAAACCAAAACCCAACAGCGCTACTTATTCCGTTTCCGAGTGTTTCCCAACTGTGACGGAATGTGGTGGTATTTGCCGGACTGCTAAACAATCACAGTACACAAAGCCAGCCGCAGTGTTGTGCCAACGCCCAGGCAACTGTCAAACAGCGGGAACTGGACTCATCTGGGCACCTCCCATGTTCAGCTGGAATATTCTATCTATTCAGCCGAACGGTGGGAACGCTCATGAGAGCTGATTATTTTCACACCCTTTTGTCAAAGTCAGAGTGATGAGGGCAAATAGTTGCTGAAGCCTATCGCCTCCCGGAGCATGTTTCCAAATGGACCACAATGGTCTCTGTGAAGAGCCTCTGCTCTACCTGGACAGATATCGACGCCCAAGGGTTTTGATAGTACAGCAAAGGTTGGGTAAACCAAAAACGAAAACGACATCCTTTGGAAACAGGCAACATGGCAACTGCGACCATGAAGATTCATGCTCGGGTACTCTTCCTGGTTCTGTTTGGGTCAACTCCAAAGGCAAAGACAAAGACACGAGAAAGCCGAAGGTAACGGAGACAGAATAACCCTGGACAATAAAAACAATATCCAGGGAAGTCCCGAACAAGTATTCCCCCCTTCTGCAGCTTGAGAATGCAATTAACAAAAAAACACCAAAGACCTCTTTGCTTGGCGATGTCCCCCGGTTCCCTTGAGGCGCTTGCCTTCACTGGCTCCACGGCACCTTGCGGCAAGGCCTGGTGTCCGTCAAAAGGCAGCAGAATGCAATGACGCCAATACGAAAGTCCTTCGTCCAGCAAAATGCGGAGCTCCCAACAGGTTGTTGCTCGAGTTTGCGGATCTGTCTTGTATTTTTTCGACACGTAAGCTTCCCCCTGCCGGCCTCAGAGCCGATCTCCACAACGTCAACGGGGTCCTGAGTTAATTACGCAAGTGTCGCTAAGCAAATAGTACAAGTGCACACAAACAACTCATCGTTGCTGAAGCAACTGGAGCGCAAGACTTGACTCCGTTTGCGCGCTTGTGTCTCTGCATCACTGCCGGTCTCTCTCGGCTTCCCGGCCTATGTCTGGTGTCAGTCTGGCCCCCATGTCACCAGGACATGTCACACCCTGAGGTCATGGCATTGTCACCGGCGCAGTTGGTCTCCTTGTGGGTCACGTTGGGATCCTGAAGACCATACAAAGAAGCCACTTGGACACGGCAAAAAGGAAACCAAAAACTCACGCAGCCCGGGCTCGCCTCGTGGCCATCGCTCAAGCCTTCCAATTCACACGACCCCGCTCCGATCTCGAATCCCTGGGCTCCTCCCAGGTCTGAGGCAGCATTCCGTAGTTCCAGAAGATGGGACCGTGGTAGTCCCGGAGCTTGCCTCGCATCGAACTTCTCGGTACTTTGCGGACAAAATGCCGGTGCTTGTGTCATACCACATTGCACTTGTCACTTGTCAGGTGGTAAAAGTGGCTGTGGCGCCATTGTCTGATTGGAAGGAAGCAACGATTGTACCTGGGCTGAACGTCGGGGGAAAAAGCCTCATGTTGAAAAAACATGTGGACTTTCATCAGGAAGAAAACACGCACACACGCACGCACGCAAACACACACAGACACACAGACACACAGACACGCAGACACACAGACACGCAGACACACAGACACACAGACACACAGACACGCAGACACACAGACACACAGACACACAGACACACAGACACACAGACACACAGACACACAGACACACAGACACACAGACACACAGACACACAGACACACAGACACACAGACACACAGACACACAGACACACAGACACACAGACACACAGACACACAGACACACAGACACACAGACACACAGACACACAGACACAGAGACACAGAGACACAGAGACACAGAGACACAGAGACACAGAGACACAGAGACACAGAGACACAGAGACACAGAGACACAGAGACACAGAGACACAGAGACACAGACACACACACAGACACACAGAGACACACACAGAGACACAGAGACACAGAGACACAGAGACACAGAGACACAGAGACACAGAGACACAGAGACACAGAGACACAGAGACACAGAGACACAGAGACACAGAGACACAGAGACACAGAGACACAGAGACACAGAGACACAGAGACACAGAGACACAGAGACACAGAGACACAGAGACACAGAGACACACACAGACACACAGACACACAGACACACAGACACACAGACACACAGACACACAGACACACAGACACACAGACACACAGACACACAGACACACAGACACACAGACACACAGACACACAGACACACAGACACACACACAGACACACAGACACACAGACACACAGACACACAGACACACAGACACACAGACACACAGACACA